CGGTAGCATTTAAATGCTTTTAATGACTTCATCATTCAGGCTGAGAGTGTGTGCGCTACCTGACTGTTGAACGAGTGGCTAGTCTTCAAAGGGGTCGGATTGATTTGTTTTAAGCAAAAATACTTTGATTTCCATAACAGCAACTGATAAATTGTGGATAAGTAAGTGTAATCATTTTTAGAAAACTCTTGAGTCCAGTCTTGCAAACATTTACTGGCAGGGAGTGCACACATTAGTGTAAAGAATTCTCCTAAAGTTAATGAGATTCAGTGTGGTAATAAGAGTGTCCATAGTCATCAAGTTTGCAATTACAGATGTAATTACTTACTCCATTGAGTTCAATTAATTTAAAAATTTGTATACAATATTTACAGCTTGTATCTAAATGTCAGAATTCTAAACTAGATTAATAAATCAGTTAAGACACAATGGTGAAAGTTTTAGGAGGAGTAAGACAAAACATAAATATTTTTAGGGATGTATATGTTCTTTAAACAAAGGGAGTTAAAAGAGCTGACAAGAGTGTGTTGTAGCTTTGTTGATTAAACTTAGCTTTTGTCTCGATGTGTAAAATTTCAGTCAGCTTTTGCAAGACATTTCCAAAGAGAAGTACAGTGCAGTTAGAGCACCAGAGGGGTTAAAAACATTTTTTCACTATTATTTTAATGGAGATTGTAATATAAAATGGAATCATTTGGGGGAGAGTGTGAAACATTCACTTTGGCCAGGTGACTTCATTATATTTCTTCAGCATCCTCATCTGTTGTGCTGGTGGAATGCTTAGTGCTTCTTGAATGGCTCCCAACCTTCCAGATATTCTTGCAGACTAAGGACTTACTATTAAAAGATAAAATATTTTCACAATTCCTTCTGGTTTTATAGCAAGAATAATTCAAAGTAATGAATACTTAAGAACAAAAATGCAGTAAGCAGCAGGTTGGGAATTGGGAAGCATGAATCAAGATTTATATTACTAAAATGAGGGTCTGTGTAGTGTATATAGAAAGTCAGTTTCTGTTTAAGAATCTGTGTGCTCAATCTGGCATGATCACAGTTATATTGATATATATTGTTTCGGAACTGTGCCAGATTCAACTCCTCCATGCTCTAGGTTTAAACTACAGCATCTTGCTTCATACCTTGTTGTTACTTTTTTACTTAATTTTAATTTAGGTGCTAACCCCTTCAGGGCTGTATGGGCAGCTACCATTCATTTTAGGAAACAAGCAAAAGTACCTGTTGCTTTCTTGTCTGAAAGATATCTGTAAACATTGATCAAATAGGTTGGAAAATATATTGGAAAAGAGTGGGACAGGAAAAAGAAAAATAGAAAGGAGCCATGTACAGCAGTGAACTTGAGTGAGTATGAAATAGGTGAACCTCTCAGAAAGCATTAATAAGCAAAGCTATCATGAATTAATCTGTGTTAGGGTGGCTGTCAGCACAGAGAGAAGAAATGGATTCTGAAAGTAAACTGTGACTGTTTGTAGGTATTTCCAAAATACCAAATGATCAGCAGAAATAACATATTTGGTAGATTTCAAAGACTTGTTAGGAAACTGAGATTGTGCAAAACTGGACCAAAAAAAAGAACAGTAATGAACAAGTAGAATGATGAACACTTAGAAGAACATTTTAGAAAGCCATAAAAGTTAGAACATACACACAGAAGGCACTGAAGGAATCAATAATATAGGAATATGTCCTGCAGTGGTATTACCAGTAGTTTCACAGTACTGGTAGCATCAGTTTCAAAGGACTTCAGGACTTGGCATTGCACTTCCCCATACTGTTGGGTAAATGCATTGGTATTTATTATATTATCTAACTTAAATTTTCTGTGTTTGAAAATACTGCAGATTGTTAGATGAAAGTTAACAGCCTAAATATGAAAGACAGCAGGTTCTATCGAAAGGAATTACTCATTTGGTTCGATGGTGAACTATTTGCCTAAGAGGCCTAGATATATTTTAACAACTTTGCTCTACAAAACATTAATTTCTGTAAAGTACAGAAGCACATCTGATGCCTGATCTTGATCTGTGACCCGAAGAGTCATTCCTTGAAGTTATGCTGAAAGTGAAGAATTACAGTAGGTCAGAAAGTGTCTGTTTAATTAATCTAATGAAGTATGTAACTTCTTAAACTTGAGAGTGGAATATTTGTTTATCTAAATATTTTTTTATTTTACTAACATGTCTAGCAAAACCCACTTCACTCTACTGCTGAAGAGTGGCATTTATATTTCTGTGAATTCTTTTTTCCTATTTTAGAAAACGAAAAGTAAAGTTTGCTTGTAATAAATATGTGGCAGTGTTTTCTGTCTAGCCCCATCACAACCTCCTTCTTCCATAATTTAAACGTTAAAACAGGTCTATGTTTTTTAGCCATAGCATCTTTGATAATCAGTTTTACTTCTGATACAAATTGCAGAGATAAAATGGTTGATGTTTTAGATCACATCAATTAAGACTATGCTAATTTTTTGATCAGGATCAATTCTGATTACCTTAGAAGACCTCTGAACTGACTGTTGCAGTTAATACTAAATTACTTAATTATTTTTATCTTCTTTTTTTACTACCACCACCACCAAAATCCAGTATGGTGTTTAGAGCATATTGGTCTACCAGGGCTTAAAGAGAAATTCTGCACTGGAGGTAATATCCTGTTCCAATTCTGTTCACGGAAACAAAGGCAGTAATTAATTAATTAATTAAATTTGAACTTGATCCAAAACAGGGTAGCCACATTGCCTTTTGGAAGGGGTCCTGGCTCAGGCTGCCTCCTGAATCTGCCCAGGAATTGCTTGGGGTAGAGCTAAGCAGTAGGAACCAAAACTGTGTGAGGAACCATTTGGTGTTCAGACAGCAGTAGGGACGGCAGAGGGCCAGCACCCACGGTCACTCTCTGGCATGTTACACCCCTTGCATAGCGGTGGAGCTTAGGTCCCCGGAAGTCTTACTATCTAAAATGCCTTGTTTAGTGCCGAATTTTCATTAAAAGGCCTGGAAGAATATAATCATAATAAATCAATTTTTTTCAAAATGAATGAAATCTTTCTGGAATATTTATAAAGCCATTTGGTTTAAATTTAGTAACCCTTTAAAATATAAAGTAAGGGTATTGAGTGCACTATTTGAAATCATTTACTAAAACTTTAAAATGTCAACCATTATAAAAAAAAATCAAGATCAATGTATTCAAACGAGGAAATCGTTCTTTGCTCCAATGTCATAGTAATTCTGAATACAACTTCCTCATCTTAGTTTTGTACAAGTATGAAATTCTAACATTTTGCAAAGGCCTGAAGTAGCAAAAAGTACACAGGTATGATGTAGTAAATGAGCTTTAGAAAAATCTTATTTTTTCCAATATGAGCAAAGTTGTACACTACACAACTGCAGATCATCCATTCCAGTTGAGGAAATCACAGTCCTGCCATCCTTCTACCGTGCTCAGTCCTTCAGCTCCTGTTCACAAGTTGCTCAGCAATTTTCCTCTCATTTTGAAAAGATCTTTGCTGCTTTGGGATTACTTCTTTGAGTCAGTGCTTCTGCTGTCATATGTTCTAAGTATAGTTTTTAAAACTCTGTGTATTTTTAAAAAGTTTGCCTATATTAAAAATTGATAGATTTTAAATGCTTTTAACAGTCAGTCCACGTACGCTGTGATCTGTGCCTTTGTCAGTTTAAGCTATACCTGAGATAACCAGTTTTTCTCACAGCACAAATTCAGAGATAAACCTGGGAGATTTATCCCATTGACTTCAGTAAATGAAGAATTTAATCATGTAATTTTTAGCAATTTCTCACTTTTCCTTTTATTTCACTGTTTCAGTCACCTAAGCCCGAGCAGTAAAAGTGCCTTTTTTGCTGTTATGTAGTGATCAGTCACAGACATAAATCCAGGTTATTCCTCATTTAAAGCCCTTTACTGCATAAAGCACGGTTGATATTAACTTTTGGTTCACTTGCTTTCTCATGATACATTCTTATTTGACTCTTTCTTTTATAATGCTGTGAAGAAGGATAAGCTGCTTTGGTTGATTCTGCTGTCATTTGCGCACAGTCTCTGCAGCAGAGGCTCTGTGAAGCCTTTCTTGCGCTCAGAGGAGCTGCTACCCAAAAAGGGGCAAAGTATAACACATTGCTCCCATCCACACGCGGTGTCGTGGGTCGCACCATCTCCCTGCTACGCTCCTGTGCCATGAACCGCACAGAGAGAGGAATACTTGCCTAGATGTGCTTTGCAGCAGGTCAAAGGCTTGAATCTCAGATTGGTCATTTAATTAAAAATCTCTCTTCTGTTGTTTATCTGCTTACAATGATAGAATTTCCATAAGCTACTGGCAGACAGCAAGTGTCACTTAATACCACCGCTCATCGGTGTGACAGTTTGCTTATTCCTGAAATGGAAGCCATGTTTCAGGTCACCCGTATTACAACCCCGGAGGGGACCCCATCAGCTCAGTGCCTTCTGTTAAACCAACAGAAGTACTCAAAACAAGCCTCATCTAAGCTTCAGCGTGCTGATCCTTGTCACAAAAGTGCTTTTGCATCATGACTGTAGTTAGGTACAGTTTTAGGGAGGTAAGAACCATATTTTGTACTTTTGCTATGAAGAGCCAAAACACTTGCTAGTGGTTTATAAAGAAGTTGATAAAATTATAAATCTGTATCAAAAATGCCACAATTTATATTACTTTCAATTGCTTATAAATATAATGTGGGTCGTCTTCCTTGAGCAACTGTGCAAAATTATATGAAGATATTATGTTTATTTTTATACTAAAATAATTGTTGCTAGCTTTTTAGTTCAAGAACTTTAGCTAATGTCTTAAAGATGGAGTTTATTGTTCTCATTTGCATCAGCATCAAACTGATGTAATTCTTTTTGCGATAACAGTATCATTTGAGCTTTATTTTTTATCTAAACAAAATTTGACTGACATCTTGCAAGTAGAAATTTCATTTTAGATATTTCCTAATCTGTTACAGGTCAATGCACAAACTGACTCAACTGGAGAGACTTGATCTGGGCAATAATGAATTCTCTGAACTGGTAAGCAACACACCATTTTTTAATAGAAAGCCTGTATGTTTTGGGTGCTCTGTGCATGAGGCATTAAACTTTTACTTAAAAGGCATTATTGTGTTGTGGCCACATGCTATGGTCACATTTCCTTGTAGAATAGAAGATTTATCATAGTTCGTGAGGTGAATGTTGATAATGGAATATGCTTCATCTACATCAGGCTTCTGCAGTTCAGATCAAGGTCACAGACGATTCTCACTCAGAGCTTGTTGCTACTGCTGGAATACTGTGGGATGAATTGATGATCTCAATATAAATACTTGTGTCAATTATGTATTAATTTCTGAATATCTATCATTATATCTTGCAAATATTAGAAATTGCTATTAGCAGAAGTAAATTCTGGACTCCAAAAGCAGTTTCTGTCCCTAACTCACCTCTAAGATGAGTATTGAATTCCCTGAGGTTTAATAGCTTTGGGGAATTTTCTCTAACATCAGTATAGAAAATAATGAAGTTGCTGTTCCCTTCAGGTTTCTACTACATCTGTAGGAATTGACACTTTTCAGAAACAGTATGAGGGTGCTTCAGCTGGGTTTTTAAATGGACCTGTTTTTAAGTAGAGCTTGCTGACTTCATCCTGCAGGAACTGTAAATATGTTAAGAGAAGCAAAACTTAGAAAAACTGCTGCCTCATCCTTTTTGAGACCTATCACTGCTAGGGCTATTCAGGAGGGCCTGTGCTTTTGTACTACAACAAATTAATACTGTGACACTCACTATTACACTGAGGGTGAAATAAACGTCTGCATGTGCCTTATCCACCAATAGCCTGTCTAGTGACTGTTAAACCCTGTGAGCTGAACCATTTCCTCCAGAGTCATAGAATAACAATCTGTAAAAATAGTGCTGCTGAATCAGGGCTTGCAATTTTAGGAGGGTGATATTTCCTGTAACTTTAATTAAAATTAAGATAATTTCACTTTAAACAAATTTCAAAATGTCATCTAGTAGTAGAAAGCTGTAGCAAAATTCTACATCTAGTTTACAGATGGTGCACTACCTTGCACTACTTTCTACCATTATGGTTATAACCCTGTTAATGTTTACTAATTCATACTGCTATGTAGGAGAAAATAGATGGTTTTAACTCAGATTTTTAATTAAAACTAGAAATCTTTTGCATAGATAAATAGAATAAAATTTTTCAGAAATGGCATTTGGAATTTTGATCATAAGAAATATGTATATGCTTCCTGAATTCAGTGTGCCTTTCTGGGGGGTGGTTTGGTTTTGTAGTCTCTGTTTTAAATTACTTCAACATCATTCTATGTTTTCGCTGGCCCTGTACTGGTATTAGAACCAGTCTCCCCGAGCTGACTCATTTTTCAGGAAGCTGGTCCAAAAATGTATGAACTAGAATCAAATGCCAGAAGCAAATGGGCCAAGAGGCAAGGGAACGGCATGAATCTGCAGAAATGTCATAGGAAAAGTGGTACTAGTTTAAATCCAGATCACCTGGAAAAAAGGATCAAAAGGTTCTGATTTGGGTTTCAGTAGAAACTTTGTTCTTATTGGAGAAATATACTACCTAGAACTGTGGTGGGGTGGAAGAGTTCAATTTCTTTGACAGTCCATCCTTGGATTATTGAAGTCCCTCCTTTTGCACTGGAAGGGGCTGGGGTCTTCATACAGGCAAACTGGAGCAATAGGCATGGGGTTAAGAATAAAGGTAATTGCAAAAATGGAGTAATTCTGTTAATTAATTTTCTGGAAACAAGATTATCCCAATCATGAGATAGGTATGTGTTCCTAAAATAGAAATTGTCACTTCCTAAATAGCTGCCATATTCAAGTGACTTAATGTAATCAAGGAAGGGAATAGGTAATCTGTGTCACAGGTATCTAGGAAAACTGGAGCAGTAAATCACAAGGTATGGGTCAAGGGTTTGAAATCTCCTAATCTTTGAAGTGACAAAAAATGGCACTGAACAAATGATAAACAGCAATTGTTAATACCACTTATCAAAACATCAGTGAGATCTCATCTGGATTATGGTATGCCATAATGCTATATCATAATCCATGGTATACCATAATCCATGCTCAAGAAATTTCAAATCAAACTGTAATATGTACAACATAGGAATAGTCTGTTGCCTTTGTGAAGGGTGTCTGTCTAATGAGAGGAATTTAAAAGAAAATTAAAGTTGAGAGGGAAATTATGATTATCTCTAATAACCTCAGTGAATGCTCTGGAGGAATAAAAAAACATTAATCATAACAGGAACAAATAGTATAAAGTGATCATTCATTGATTTAGTCTGGAAATTAGAAGTGGTTTTAACCATTGAAGGAAACAGAATTTCAATAGAATTAGCCAAGGCAAAGTAAATTATTTTTAAAGTACTGACTAATCATTTTTCAGTAGAAATACATTATGTGACAACATGGAAAACTGAGGGATTGAGCTCCCCAGACTAGCAGGTTCTTTCTTATCTGATGATGCATTGGGAGCTTCTCCCATAACATACCATGTGACCTGGGCAACTGGAAAATTGTATTTCTTGTGGGAATTATAACATTCCAAAGAACGTAGACCACAGGAGATATAATTAGAGGTCTTTCAAGGTCCTGTGATGCTAGACAGGTAGATTTGTTTCTAGCTGTGTTGAAATAATTCCAGTGAAATAGTGCTACAGACTTTCAAAATGCTAGAATCTGATTTAGTCAGAGCCAAATGAAATATTTAATATCAGTTTCTAGCAGACTTTGGAAAAAAAAAATCTCTACGACTTTACAGAGCTAAGGCAAACTGATGTTTTACCTGTGAAAATAGTGTTTCATGAAAAAGAATAATACTGCTTAGGCTGAAACATGGAAATATTTGTGACCTGATAATTCTTGATTTTCACAGCTGTAATGAATAAGAAATGATTTGGGGAATTGCCTTTTTGAGTTTCTCTCACTAATATCCTATAGTGTTGAAAAGAATAGAACATCTTAGATTAAAGTTTCATATTGTAATTTTAAGGCTTTATCATTGCATACAGCTGTTTTAACTACTGAATATGACAATTGCAGACATTAAATTGTACATAAATGCAGTATATCCAGGAAAATGTTCAGCAATATGACTCCGTTAAGCTATTTTTAAGGCTACAAATCATGCAAAAGGCAGTTTTGCATGTGCCACAAGATGAGATTTGGTCTTTCTTTTCAGTGCATTGTTTCTGAAGCTCCACAATTCTCACTTCAATCGTTTGCCTTGTTTATAAATTGCATACTGCCAATAGACTGTTTAGAACAGGAACTTCTAATAAGTTCTTCTTTGTATTCATTTCTTTTCCAGGGGGTTCTTAAATTTTACAAGTTTTGAAAAAGAGCAACAGTGGTTAAATTAAATTAAATGAACATACTGTTTGTGTCATTAAGTATCTGAAAGTCTGATGTGGGTTATAGAAAGAAAAAAAGCAAGGTGAAGAGCGAATCTTTTTTTAAAGAAAATACTGATTTATATTTAACTAAAAAAAAATACTGATTTATTTAATGGTCCTAATACTATCTTCTTCTTTTCTTCAGCCTGAGGTTCTCGAACAAATACAAAATCTAAAGGAATTGTGGATGGACAATAATTCTTTGCAAATACTACCTGGGGTATGAACATTTTTTTTACATAATCAAATTATTGTGTGATATAGTGAACTATTGACCTTGCAGTAAATAAATGCATGTGCATTTTCTTGAATGGGTACATATTCCTAGTTCATATAGTCATTAATTATTATCAAGAAATAAAAGTCTCAGCATAGCTATTCATATAAAAACCTTTTAAATGTTGTGTTATTACATGATAGCGTCTAAATGGGGATGTGCCTGTTTTATTTAAATGTTGTGTGGGTTTCATTGTGAGGGGAAGTTATTTCCTATTGTCTTCGCAGTCAGCATGCATTAACTAGCAGTTTTATAAAAACCCACATGTTTTAAAAAGGAAGATGAAATGTTAAGTAATCTAAATAAACTTAAAAATAACAGATGGTATGTACAGATTCAACTATATTAAAAGCAATTCTGAGGCAGTGGAATGAAGATATGTTCCTCCAGAAAGCACTCCATTTAGAAATGGAACAAAAAATATTTTACAATCTAAACATTAGGGTCATGGTTATATATTAGTGCTGTTTCTGAGTTGTTGCTACCCCACAGTAGGACTTTGATTTTCAATTTTTATTGCCATAAATTATTAAAATTAAATACTCTAAAATACCTACACTGATTATGACCGGAGAAAGGGATCCCCGTCATTAGCATTTTATCACACAGGTGACAGATCATATGTTTTACATAATAATGCTCTTCATGGCTGCAGGGAAAATGTAGAACTATATCTAGCACAAACATGTCTAGGTGTTAGAAGTAGTTCTTCCTCTTTCAGTTTTGAACATTTGTTAATAAAAATTCAATTTTTTGCATTGAGCAATGACTGGTTTTTGTCATAAATAGATTACATTAATCTTTTGTGTTAAGCAGGATGTTTGCAAAGAAAATGATCATTTTCAGTCACTGTCCGAATATCCACTTTGAGTGCTTTGTTAGTGAAAAGAAAAGCTGATATTGAAACCACCTCTTGATACTGAAACCAGCTGGAGATCAAGAACACCAATATTGCAGTATTGTTGCTGCAGTGTTAGAGTAGAAGAAATGTCAGATATACTAGAGTGTGTGCACAAACATTTTAACCATTATTCTGTTTCTTTTCTGTTCACAATGAAATTGGTTAATATATCCAGAGCTAAAATGTGTTCCAAACATGGTCCTGCTGAGCTATTATAATCCCTGAAGAGGGTATTTAGAGTTGAAGATGTTCAGTAGGTCATGGAACTAAATCTCAAGGAGCATAATTATTTTCAGTGAATAATCCATGTTTCCTGCATCTGATTCTAGTAGACCCTAGATGATGTTTTATGAAAGCCTTCTCCAAAACAAGAGGTTTAAAACAGTTAATATTAGCTTTAAATTTTTACTTTTAAAAATAGAAAGGAAATACCAACTGGTAATTGATTTTAAGATTTAGAGATTTGCCAGGTTTCCAATGTTAATAATTCAGTTTTTAAAAAAGTAGTCTGTGCTAGAAACAAAGGTTATGTTTGACTATTAACATGGGTAGAATGGCAAATGTTGGTGTGGAAGGGAGATTTTCCCTTTATACAACTCAGATATGATTAAAGATAACATGAAGCTGCCTCCTTAGAAGCAGAGAGCAGATCAGTGAAATAACTCTTGTAAAAAGGATGCTGACATAACTGAATATAAGCCTGTATTACTATTGTTTGTCTTTAATTAAACTTAGAAACTGGCATGCAGTGTATATCTTTTCAAGTAACACTTTGTGACATGCTATTAAGTCTATAGGGAAGTTAAAACAGCTCGTGTACCTGGATGTGTCAAAAAACAGGATAGAAACTGTTGATTTGGACATATCAGGATGTGAAGGACTTGAAGATCTCCTGTTGTCATCCAATATGTTGCAGCAACTGCCAGACTCTATAGGTGAGAAAAGCTCAGGATTTCTTGTAATCTTTTACAGTTAAGGATTTCTTTAATATCTTTTTTTTGTAATTATGGGACTTGACAATAGCTGGAATAAGAACTGCCATTAAATTCCGACAGAGTTTGAAACATTTATGTCTGCACAGTCCATGAAGATAATTTTGTAAAGTCAGGAAAAAAATCCATGGTTAGAAGGTATTGATTATTCTGATTTGCTATTTTAAAGAAAATAAGCAAAGAAAGATATAATTGATCTGATCTAAATTTGAAAGTAAGTATAATAGTGATTATGTTAACAGTGTGAAACTCTTGAAGGAAATTGCTACTCTGAGTTACAGTAATGCAATTCCATATGAGAGCATTAAACAAAGAAATAGTTCAAACTGTTCATTTTTGCTTTTGACTATATTGCATGCATAGAATTTCTGAATTATTTAGAATATATAGAAATTCTGGAAGCTAAGTGATTGTAGGTTATGATTCTATACATCTGGATATTTCATTTCAGTCTTGATCCCTTATATTTTCTTTAGAAACACTTAAGGTCTTTCCTCTCTTCTATTGCTTCTAGCCGATGAGCCCACTATATCATCATCATCATCTTTTTCACTTTCCTAAATGTGTCCTTTTGAACATGGAACTGTTAAATTCCCCAATTTCAAATCAACTTAGTCAAGATTCCAAAATGTACTGCGAATTAATAATACTGTGCTACACGAATGTTACTAGATGTCTTTTACAGCTATTTTCTATTTTGGTCTTCTACATCTCACCATAAATTCTAGAATTTTTGCTTTATATGGTTTTCTGATATGCATATGCAGATTGATTTTTAGAGGGCATTTAGCTCCTGCACAAAAGGAATAAATGTTTACATTTTGAAGTATACATTCTTGCAATTAGATATATTCAGTTGTCATTTCCAAATTCCTATTACTGAATGATAATAGATTTAACAGAAGTAAAGCAAAAAGATTCATTTTAATACTGCATTTTCAAATGAGAGCTTGCTGAAATTCATTTTGGTGGAACTTTTTCCTCTTAAAAGAAAATTTTCTTGAAAACTAGATGTTTCTTGGAACATGTTGATTTTGGAAAAGCTTTCAACAAAAATGTTCTGCAATTGAAATGAGTAGTGTTTCTTTTAATTATACTTTTCATTTGCTTCAGCTTTCAAATTATGGCACATTCAATTTAACTTTTTTCTCTATATTGGTGATTAATCTGTTTTATTCTTAACATTAATTACAAATGATCATTTAAAAAATGATATTTCAGTATATCCAGAATCCTTTCAGGAAAGAAACAGATTTTGAAATGTCAATAACTTCCAGAAGGTGTAAATGTTTTTCAAGCTCTGTTTCTAGCACTATAATGCAATATTTTCCCCATTTTTTCTCTCTTTACTTTTTTATCGTCTTCTGCTGTTACACACTGGTAAAGCAGAAGTTTCATTCCCTTCTTGGTAAATGTTACCCAGTTATGCATCTGCTTAGACTTAGATATATAATAATTCTTTTAATGATAAGTATTAACCATATATACAAATGCATTCAGGATTGATTCTAGTTTTCGGTCTGATTCTGGTTTTCTTCTATACCTACATATTGTGAAGCTTTAGAAATGTGGCATTTACTTTAGATAATTTGCCTAATGTCCTGTTATGACCTAAGCACCTTTTAATCAAGGCAACAGGACTTGAATTTGATCGAAACATTAATAGATAAGTAGAAATACACAGATAGGATACTATTCTTTTTTTTACAGTTTTTTTCAAGACTGCAGAAATACATTTAATATTTCACTTGCAGTTCAGCTTAACATTTAATCAGTGCTTCATTTTGATGAAACGTATTCTCAAAGGGACAAGAATGTGTCTGTGTACTGTCCTATATACAGATGTTTTCTAAAATCTAGATCAAAGTTATTGAGTGTTAGAAATCATTGTTTGTTTAAGGATATGGGAGATTACAGAAAGTAAAAAAAGATTAATGTGAAATATTTTTCTATTACTTCTTCGTTACCTGTTTTGTAGGACTGTTGAAAAGGCTTACAACTTTAAAAGTAGATGACAATCAGCTTACAATTCTGCCAAATGCAATTGGAAAGTGAGTATAAGTGTCATGATTTTCAACATTAAGTAAAATGTGTTTTCCCTCCAGCTTGCAGGATGTAGGTTTTTTTAAAATAAAAAATAAGACAAAGATGTACTGAATTATAAAACAATTCTGAAATGTGTGCCTAACACCCAGCTGATAACATTTAAATTTGGAGCAACACTATTACTTCTGTGGACTTATACTGGTATAAGTGATAAGATGGAATGTATCATATTTTCCAAGAAAAAGAACAGAGGTATTTTTCTGTATGAATCACTTGCAATTTAGATGATTAGAGCGGCAAAAGTAGAAGAAATAGAAGTATTTGGGGGAATACGTCTGTTTCCATAGCAACAGCCAGTACTTGATGCTTAAAAGAAAATGGCCACAAACCTCATATGTATGAAGATTTCTTAAAATATTGAAGTAACATAAATGAAAAAGTCATGACAATTTCATAGGTGTCTACATCAAAATGTGAAAATATCATGTAAGTGATCTTATTATGAAAAGCAGTAGTGATGGCCTTTAGCTATCATTTTGTCAGATATTACATGATCACTGGTGCAAAATTCTGTCTTGTACTGTTGTGTGTCTTGAGCTTATTGCTAAATGAAACCTTCAATTTATTGTAAAATTGAACGCAGATGCAAGCATGTCTCCAAGTACAGAAACAGGTGCTTCTTTATGTTGTTTCACACTGCACATATCCCCTTCTAGCAGAACATATCTTTAACATTGATATTTTTGTAGGATGCCTCTTCCTCTGCATATTTTACTTCTGAAATGCTAGATAAACTCATATTTGGAAAAAAATTCAGAATATATGGTCCCTGGCTGCCTTCTACAGCTATAGCACTAGTGTTTCCATCATTCCTCTTGCACCAGCAGTAGTATTCATGCAGAAGAAGCAGATTTCAGCCTAAGTAATGATTGTCTTCCTGGTGTGACTGAACACATGGTTATACCATTTATACCAATTCTGTGCTGTCAGCATGAAACGCTGGGAACGGGGCATCTGTGAGCAGAGTTGCGCTCACGGTTTGTGCCTTTGTTCTCAGTGCAAAAACCATTCTCTCTTCAGCAGATTGTAGCTCAACAAACTGTTCCATTAGAAGTAGTTTTCTTAAGCCAGGGCTGTTCTGAGGCTTCCAAAATTAAAGCCAAGAAGACTTCATTTAGACTTGTCCAGAAATATGATAGTACAGTGAGGTCTCTAGAATAGAAATAATCTCTAACTTGCACAGCCAGTGCTTTACTGCTCCCGCACCCATTTTATAGTAATTTAGTTGTTGGTATGCCATTCAGGAAAAATTTGTGAACTATTACAACTGTAGCAACTGAAAGCTTAGGTTTGACCTACCATGCTGTACTTCTTGCAGTGTCTTTACAGTTATGTGATGTTCATGTAGAGTATTAAAAGTTGGTCATATGAATCACAAAAGGGCAGATCTTTGCTACACAAACAATTGTGTGGCAATAAATTCTGATAGGCAGTGAAAGCTTGTAAGGCTCAAAGTGGTACTGCACACTCTGCGAAAAGGTTGGTATAATGTCCACCATTATCTTTAACAATTTTGGAGGTCAGTTATTAAGACCTTTTAAAACCTTTATTATTTATTGAATTTCTCAAATTGCAGGGAAACCCCTCTTCCTTTTTAACCTAATATCTGTTCAGTATTGTTTGTCCTGGAGCCTTAATTACATTTTTAAAGATGCATACTGCCGTTCTAAACGGTGTATATGCAGAGCAGTAGGCTAATCACCTAATATTATCACATTATTTTTGAGTGATTGGTTGTGCTTTTTAAATGAAGTACTTTAATGAGGACAGTGTCTCCCACATCAAAATGAACTTCCTTTCTCTGACTCATCCATTTGGATAGTTTCCTACTGTTTTTTTTCTCCTAAATCATAGTTGTAGTACCCACTGCAGAGTATATTATTGTCACACAAAGATTAGCAGTGTGGAGGAGGGAACTCTCCCTCCAGGAACAAATTTCATGATGAGACACAGAGCACTTCAACACTGTCTGAGTCGATGTTGCTAATAGTGAACCACCACCCACATTTTTGGCAGTTTTGTTCAAAGGGCAAGCCTGTAAGTGGCATTTGGAGTTTGACCCTGCAAGATGCTGTGCACAGTAGACCCAGCTTAATAAAACATTCCACATAAAATCAGCGGATTCACGTTGATTAAGTACTTTACCAAATTGGACCCAAAGACTGGAGATTTTATCTGTAGGACCCTGGTGAATTCTCATGCTTTCCCCTTTGTCGGTAGGAAGGTGTCATGAGGAAAGTCGTGACCCCCTCATAGGTAATGGTGCAGTAGGTCAAGAGCCAGTGTAGATGAGTGTTAGATGGGTGTTTTGTATATGTGTCTAGTCTATACCATATCTGACAGTACCAGATGCTGCAAATGAAAGTGTAAAATTCTGTTCCTGGGTCTGCAAAATTCCTTTTGCCTGATGTTGGACAAATAGTGGGTGTAGCTAACTCTTAGGATTTGGGCTGCTTTGGCAGTTATCTGGGTGGCTGTTGGGAGAAAAGGGCTGAGGTGGGTTGGAACTACTCTTTTATTCGTAGCAGTCTTCATTCTCCATGAATCTCTCTCTACTAATCTGTCTAAAAATATTCCTCATCTACCTTAGGACATGTACTGTGAACTGCCTTATTTCAATGGGTGCCAAACTGAACAGCAGGTGCATATCTGATTTTTGTCTGCCTTTCTTTAAACCTATCAAGTATGATCTGAATTTAGCCCAAGAAGACAGTATGGTTAATGATATTTTAGCTAAATTAGCATTGTTGGAATTATAGCTGTTATTTTAACTTAATCCATGATGAATGAAAAATCACCTTCTGAAGTGCATATTTTTTTAACCGTGGTAGTTACAGAGATAAAATATAGTTTCACACTGACTTTGGTGTTTTTACTGTGGCCTTCTTCATTTGTCTGCTGCTGATGTCATCAGGAAGGAAGGAAGCTGAGAATGTCTGTGCCAGACAATACCTTTCAAATAAAATTCTCTTGTCTGATAAAGCCATTCTTCACTGTCAGGGAAACTTCCACAGTTACTGTTCAGAGTATCAGATTTTCTGATTGCTATTGGAAACGCTGTAGTTCTCAGTTAGCTTATCTATTTTCAAGCTTTTCTGGTTGTGTTATCATGAGTAGAAGGAAGAATGTATGCATCTTGCAATTTAACAAGTTTTCCAGTTGGACTTCCCACTGTCAAGCACCTATTCTGTATGAAGTAGGTAAACATGACTGAATTTTGCCTTTACTGAAATTGTTTTGTATCTAGTTTGAAATCAACTGTGGTGGATACAGAGCTTGTATTAAAGAAAAGCTATAACTAAAGCCTGGCAGAGCTTTTGGGTATATTCCATGCATCTCTTTCACTAATCACTGTATGACTCACTTTGGCTTTTCAGTCTACTGAAATACAGCAATTAGAGGAAAGTTCTGAGAATTCCATGTTAGGAATAGCTATTTCTGGTTTCATGTTTCATAAAATTTGAAGGCTGAACGACCTTTTTTTAATTAATAAACTGGAATAAAGGTAAGTTAGACGTACAGCGAAGGTCCAGTCCTGCAGCTGTGACTCATATAAATACTAAGGAGCAAGGTTTGTAGCAGAGGTAAACTTTTTATCAGATCTACCAAAACATTTGGAAAAAAACCAGACAATCTTCTGGGCACCTAGTCCCTTTGTCAGTGGGAGATGACAAACGTGGAGGAAGAAATAATTGCTTGCCATTTAACCTTACTATTAATTAAAGCACTTGAGAGAAAAAGGTAGTACATGTGGAGCAGAAAAGGGGCAGCAGAAGCAGGGAACAATGGCATTTGTTACGGGTCATAAAACTTATATTCTGTGAGCTGAATGAGCAGTGCAGTACAGCATTCATTTTAAGAATCTTTATATCAAGCCTAATTTTATAAGAGGTTCAGTAGATATTTCTTCAGAATATTTTTAAATATGTGTGTGTATATGCGCATAATGCATATGTAATATGTATATGTTTTTATGTATCTCTCTATATAACATGTATTACACATATATATTCCTGTTGGTAAGCGTTACTTGCATTAGCAAAGGTCAAATTGTTGGTTTTTAATCACCAAAGTAAGATTGATGTGTAAGTGTTGCCTGATACTACCTGCTGTCTTCAGGGAAAAGCAAATACTCAAAAGAGTCCTGTGGGTTGTGTGACTGGCTAGGACAGGGTCCTGAAGAGCAGAAAAACGCCTCTGAAGGCCGTCTCATTCCGGACCAGCGGTGGGTGGGGAGGTTCAAGTGCTGACTGTCAGCACTCTGCATTGGTCAGCTCTTGGCGTTTCCTTGGCTTTCATTCTGCGTAGGTGCCAGCTGCTGTCAGAGAAGGCGGTGGCTTTTATGATGTGGGCCCCTTTCATTTAGGACTCGGTATGAAATCTCCAACTCATTTCACAACCTCTTCATGGCTAATAAAATGCAGGGATATACTGAATGCCAATTCCGTGCACTAGCAAGCTGTGCTTTCTTTATACGTACTGCTCTCTGGTACTGGGGACTGTGGCTGACCCAGACTTCAGTTCAACAGGGGAGTCTCTGTCAGCTGTCTCTACTTCATCCTCTTTCCTGAAAACATGATTACGTAGAGGAAAGGTCAGGTCTCTTTCTTTTCACAATTTGACAGTACAACAGTCTAGGAAAAAAGATACAAGACAGAAATTGAGATTACTTCATTTTTTTAAAAGAGAGACCTTGAGTGTCAGAAGATTACTTACTCTGGTCTGCTTTGTTTCAGTCCTTGCCATACAGATACCCTTTGAAGATCACTTTTTAGCCAGCTTTCTGAACATGTGAAAGATAAGCACTTTTACAAAAGCTGGGTCTGACTACAACAGGCTGAGATTACTTTGCTGAGTTTGGGTCCAAGTTCATCTTTTTTTACTACTGATTAGAATTAGTATTAGAAATGATGTCAAGTGCATCAGTTGGAATGTACCCTGGAGGCAATTTCTGCTTCCCTTACCTTTGCTCTGACCAGCGGTATTTCTTTACCTGTTGTCTGTCTTTATATGTTAAGATTATAAACTTTTTGGTTTAATGCTTTAGCTTGGTATGAATTGCCCTGATCACTGTCTGTTTGAACTACTTGGAATACTCCTCACTACAAAAAGTAAGAATGATAATGTGGGGAAACTGAGTGGTCTTTCTTAAACTGCCTTACTGGGTAAGATTGATAAACCGTGTTCCTAATAGTTCCTAAAATCATGTTATTATAGACTTCTCCTAGGGAAATCTGCAATAAAGGTTCCCTCTTCAGGGCATGATGTCTGTAGTAGTGTGATGCTTTAAAACTTCCAAAGGTTTTAGATTGTTGATTTTTGTTATCTAGTCCTTGTATAGCATCTAACAAGTGTATTTACAATTTCAGTTTATCTTTATTAGAAGAATTTGACTGCAGCTGTAATGAGTTGGAGTCCTTACCTTCTACCATTGGCTACCTTCATAACCTGAGGACGTTGGCTGTGGATGAGAATTTCCTTCCTGAGCTGCCCAGAGAAGTGAGAAGCTGATTCTGTTTTTAAATTACAGATTGAAATGTTTTGTGGTAGGCCCAAGATTTCATCCCTACTCAGACAAAATATCTGTTAAAGCAATTGTTTCTGCATGATGTGGAACACCAAACCTTTCTTACGTACTCCACAGTAAAATAATAAAACCAGTAAATTAGTAAATCCATGTAAAGGTGAGAGTATCACTCAGAACAGTAGTGCAGGTAACCCTAGGCATTTCCCTGATGTTACTGACAAAGGGAGAGCATTATTTTCTGACTAGATTCTGTATTTTTTTTGCTTTCTGTCACTTACAGTAAAAACACAATTTGGACACCTCCTGACGTAAAAAGTTAGTGATAATAAATTTTATCAAAGTAGGTATCCTAACATCTTTGTTTTTTTCATTCCTATAGATTGGAAGCTGTAAAAACGTAACAGTGATGTCTCTGCGCTCTAACAAGCTAGAATTTCTTCCTGATGAAATTGGTCAGATGCAGAAGCTGAGAGTGTTAAATCTGAGTGATAACAGGTATAGTTCACATAATTTTTCTAATGCATTATAAGAATTTATTTTAAAAAAAATTTAAACTATTCTTTTTAGGTATTTGTAAAAATACATTTATATAAAATATATTTTAAAAGATAAAAATAATATTTAGAATTACTTTTTAAAACCTATTTAAACTATAAGGAAAAAATCTTGATTTTTTTTTTTTTTTTTTTTTTTAATTTTTATGGTTTGGTCTTAGTTCCACTGGCATCCAAAGAAAAACTTGAATGGGGCCAAGATCTGGGTCTCAGTGTGTTTTAATAGATTAAAACATATTTACTTCTTTTATCTCCTGCTGTTTCCATGTGGAAATGTGATATTTGGCTTTAGAATTGTATGTAACTTCGTAATATTTAATGATTAAAAAATTGTGACAACTGATATATAGGAAATCATTAAATGCAAGCACACTAGCATGTTATCCTGCCTCCACTGAAATCAAAAGAAAATTTTCTATTATTTCCTTCAGCAGAGCAAAGGTTTTGTCAAAAAAACAGATTCTTCTGTTCTTATGCACATGACTATTCCTCTGAGAAACTTAATGGTTAAAATGAGCCTTTCTTGATACCTATCCCATGCTGCCATAGGCATCAGAAAAGACTGAATTTTCCTTGAGATTTATACATGCCTATGTTCCAAGAATATGTTAATTTTCAGTATAACCACAGAAATACAAGTTTCCTTGGTAGTGCAACATATGGTGTGTGAATACCATTTTGTTTCCAGTAATTATCATCCATACGCAGTAAAAATTAGGGGAAGGACTTTCCACATCTGTGTCTGATATACTGTCAGCAGTTTCATTGTTGAAATTAAGGTTGAGCATAAAATATAAAATGAGGTAATGTAGAAATCTCTGTAATATATTTGTTTAAAATTATTTGCTTAATTCTGTTAGATGATTTTCCGCATTACAATTGTGTGTTATAAAATACATTATGTATGGACCAGACCATAAAGTTAAACTTAACTCTAGTTTGTATTGAAACTGTCCAAGTCCCAGAATCAAATCTTGGGTCTCTTGATTTTGGGTTTCAGGTTCCAGTGCTTTCCCAAGTACAGGGAGTACTCTCCCATCAGTATGTCACCACGGCAGTGTACATTTGTGCTTTTATCTGTACAGCTAGAGTCTGAAACTGTATTTCAGGCAACACTTTAAAATCACTCAAGCTGGCATTCTTGCCAACAAAGGCAGCCTAGCTTCCCTTCGCTGTTCCTGCATCCATATACCCTGTCCTGTCCTAGGGTGGTTTTGTTCAGGTGTATGGTGATCTTGAATGCATAAGTAATATAGATGAAAGCAGCCTATCAGAAATATGGCGAATTTTCAGTTGGACATTTTCAGTGGCTGTTCCCTCTTGTTGCTGCACAGCCAGCTGTAGTGGCATGCAGGAGGAGGCACAGAGTGGGCATAGGAGTGGGGAGCCAGCAGGACAGCGCTGGTTTGGGGCCTCTTGGGAGTTCAGGGAGTTGCAGCTGCAGGGTGCCTTCCCTGGCACATAAACCCAATCTGAGCTGGATCACTCTGCCTCCTTTTCAAACCTGTAATTGTGCTATGAGTTTGTGCTGAGGAAGCAGAAAACTAGTGTGTGTGAGGGGGGGTGTTTTGTTTTTCCCGTTTATTTGCCAAGTTACTTTTCAGCCAGGTCAGCTGCTGATTTCAGGCACATGACTTCATGTGTAATTACTGATTATGAGGGCTATTGCTGAGGTGAGAGAGGGAGGAGGTGGTGCACTGCCTGGAGGAGGCAGTGGAGGTCATAAGAGCAGGCAAGGTTTCCTGACCAGGCTGAGCTGACAGCTGGATGCCACCAAAACAGCAGTTCGGCCCCACCTTCCTTTTTTCCCAGGTGTAAGAGAGGATTGGGATGTCCATTAGGGAGGAAGGTAATTACATCCCCATGACGTGATGTTCCTTGGGGTGGAATGTGTCAGCTGGTGTCCTTCCCGTTCCCCCTTCAGTGCTGGCTGGTAACCCTGCATCTGCCCTTTTGCTTGCTCAGGGCTCACTGGACAAGTCACTGAGCTGATTTATCTCACTGAAAATGGAAAAAGCTATTGTTCTTCTTGTTATGTTCATTTTATGACACTCCTCACAGTCCATTTGCTCACCATGGAGTCTGGCAAACACCAAAGCCAGCTAAAGGTAAACAGCGGCTGTGCACCAAAGCAGGTGTGAGGAGGGCAGGAGAACAGGACCTTTGCCTGTTGGGGTGGGAAGCTGTTCTCTCAAGTCAAGCTGAAAAACTATGCAGTGCGTTGTGAGCATTGTAGAACTAGTGAGAGAGCACAGTCTAGACTAGGAGAGATAGGAACTGACTCAGGCCGTAGACCTTCAACCCTTAAACCTGGTTGATTTGTCTCATGTACTTTTCTTGAGGAATTTGGGGAGTAAATTTTTCCTCCTTTGTTGATATCAATTCTGCCTGAGGTTAAATGTTGCCCTGCTGAGGTGTCTTGATAATGCTTTTGTTACGGAACTTCCCACCTTAATGAAACTAAAAAGTTTCAATGTTTTGGCACCAAAGAGTTTGGACAAAGTTCAGATACCATCTTAATGTTGGATTTTTAAAATTTTTTTTTTTACGTTTCTGTTTTCCCATTTTGGCATTCATACTAACATTAAGGCAATATCCATTCTTTCTTTGAATGAGTCCACCATGTACATGCAAATAAGGAGCATACTTGGGCTCCACTTATTGCTAGGATCCTTTCCATGTTACCACGATAGTTTAGCCCTTCTACTCTTCCTGCTTCAGATATGACAGAGGAGGTAGAGCATACCAGCTCTTTTCCTGGATAGCCCTTCGAGCCATTGGAAGAAGAGACAGACACGCAAGCACAGCAGAAAGGCTATTCTAGAGCCAAGGGGTCAGTGCATGTGCTTCACCCTATGGTGATTGGCTCCTGGGTCCTGGGATGTGCATCAGCCTTTTCGCTCTCAGCATGTTACGAGACCTGCTGAGCCCTGGCCTCTGTGGGCTCCGCTGCTAAGGCAGACGCATTCACACCAACACTGCTGATGCAGCCTTTTTGGCCTGAAATCTCCAACCTTTGCACAAATCTGAGGAGGAGTTGTTCCTCCCTGTACTATATAACAAATGGGGATGGACTGTACATATGATCGCATATTCTTTCAGAATTTATCTGGTCGGTCTTTTATGACTTTCTCCTCCTGACACCAGAGAGGATTTCACGTCCATTCTGGCAGCTGTCCAGTTGCTCATGCATCTTTGGACATTACTTTCCTTGCAGAGGGAACAGACTCTGTCACCGTGACTGTCAATCCATGCTGATCATCATGGATGTATAGTTTTACAAAGGGAACACAGTCTTCCACTGGGGATCTGTTCACTGCAGGTTCATCCTGATACCTCAGGGTCATCTCCTTCTACTTTGTCACATGCCAAATTCCACCTCCAGTGTCTACAACTGTAAATGGTGCGCTTGTGTATCCATTAGCCTCTTACATCATTGCCTTTATCCCAGTGATTTTCTCTGATAGCAGCCAGGCTACTCAAGTGTTTATTACGAGATGCCCTTTTGCCACCAAAAATGTTCATTCTGGACACATCCCTCATGGCATGGGGAGTGCACTCTGGCTCAAGGCATGTAGAGTACAGGGAACTTGCCTTGCCAGAGTGCATGGAAAACTTGCAGTCTGCTCTCTGAATGATCACGCACACATGGAGTGATCGACAACCGTGGAGTAGCATGTAAAGAGGAAAAGAGGAGCTCTCCCTCCCTTGCATTATCTGGAGCTTGTCTGGGTATGAAAGTCAGAAACATTTTGGGACATTTGGTCTAAAAATCCTGATTGGATGTCTTTCAGGAGGGAGGCAAATGTGACCGAGACCTCTCTGCCACTCAGGCTCATGGGAATCTCAAATTTTTGTGAGCTGACACATTTTGCTCAAAGGTGGGTCAGTGTTTGGAGTCCCTCTCTAGTGCATTTTTAATACTATGGTTTCGGCTACTACAGGCTTTCACTCGTGTTCCATGTCTTCTAAAGGCCCTCATCATTGTAAGGTGGACCTTGCTGATCTTAATTTACCAGCAGCTGGTTTAGTTGCAGGACTTTCTTCAAATATTCATTTTAGAATTCCATTTTAACCAGGGAATTAGACTCCAGCTTTTCTTTCCCATGCCATGCACTCTAAAACTGTATCTATACTTCTCATCTCAATAGCTGGGAGTCCTCTCTCCTTTTATCTTTACAGGTCCAAACCTTTACCACTCTGTTACAGGCTCTTCATCCCTAGGAAATGCAGTATTTGGTTGTCTCTATGCAATAAAAGGCAATGATGGGTTGAATCCTGACTTGCTATCAGATTGCTAAAGTGGAGTCTAATGAGGGTTAGTGTACAACTGACCAGAGCTTAGGTGGCTTCACCCTCTGCAGGCAGGGAAGTTTTGACTCCAGATGCTTGCAGTGCAGCTACCTGGAGATTCATCCTTGCCGTTGCCAGACATAACACTGTCTCCAGTGCTTCAAGAACCAATGCAGCATTTGATAAAGTAGTTGTGCAATTACTACTTGCGTGAAAGGTATCGAGACCTCCACCACGTAATGAGTCATTGGGGGTAGCTGCTTGGATTCAGTCACTGTTAAGAGTACACATGGGATTCATTCAAAGAAAAAAAGATGTCTTACCAGTAACCGGTGTTCTTCACAATGTGTAGTCCACATATACATTTGTCTTCCATCTGCTTCTCCTCTCTCCTCAGAGTCCTTCCAGGTATGAGTCCTGTGATTGAGAGGTAGAATTGTTAGAATGTACATTTGGGCTACACTTCTCAAAGAGCATCGGTTACTGGTAAGTAACCTTTCTTTTAGTTTTAGATTGTTCTTAAAGAAGAGCTGAAAGATTCATCACCTTTCTGTATTTGCACTGCTTCTGCTTCTGTCCTGGGGTCAGAACTCAATTACTGCTCTGAATCTCACTCACAGAACTTAGATGAATAAAGGTCCTAAGATTACATGATCATTCAAAAAAAGACTGTTCTCTGGTGTACCTTTTCCTTTTCTGGTTAGATATTTAATTATACAATATTGCTCATTGCCAAAGAGGTAATTACTTCTGGCCATGTATATCCACGAGTGGTTTTGTGAACAGTATGTATGGATGGGTTAATATGAATCATGTTCTTTTAAACTTTCACACTCTGAAAACCCTATTATTATCAATTTGCTGAGAGTTACTTAGAGAACTGGCACAAATAGCAACTATCTCAGGGCTTGACCGACTGGTAATGCTGCTTGTTATGATTAACCTCCAACATGTTTTGACATGAATTTTTTATGTTTTGGTTGTTGTTTGAAAATTCTTTCTGAATGTCACCAAGTTATAATATATGCATTGATGAATCTAGAAAGTATTCCCTTAGGTGTTTGGTAAGCTCTTCGTATGTTGTATTGCTCAAACTAATAATCAGTGGAAACTCTTCTTATACTCTGAGCTTGCTTACTTAGGGCAGAACAAAACCAAAATTTAGTACCTGGTACAAATATGTAGTGGATTATTTTACAAAACTATGAGAAAAACAATTATTATCAAGAAAGAAAAGTTAAAATTATGTCTGTCAAGAGGCTTACAATAAAAGTGAAGACCACCTCTGCCCCATAAAACCCCTCAAATATTGATATTTGATATTTTTTATATTTAAACAGTATCAATGACATTTTCTTTGCTTTTCTTGTGTTTCATGACTAATATTCATTAGCTTAGTCTTAAAGTATTTACCCCCTAAGAACTTAAAAGATTATGTGAAAGATGTAATCTAGGATTAATAATGGAAGGAATTATTCTAAAGTCCTCATTTCAGAATCGCGTAACACACTGACATGTAGCTTCTTTGAGGTTGTGAAGTCATGTGGTACAATGGTTTAATGTTTAGGGGTGTCATTTCAAAAAGTGGGCTGGTTTTGGTTTCGTTTGTTTTTATTCACCTCAGGAACTTCAGGGGGAAATTTCTTCTCCTTTTTTTCTCATAAGAAAACATTTTCTGTGTGAAAATTAAACACTATAAAAAGAACATATGCATTTCATGCTTTTCCAAACGACTGCTGTGGATAGTTGTTTTCCTGAAAAATCAGTTGGTGCTTCAGGGTTTACCTTAAAAGAAAGATTTTTATTAATAACTTTTAAACTTTTACATTTACCAATAGCGTACATTAATTTACCTGTGATTTATCCTAATTAATACGAACACAGATAATCCCTATAGCACTAAGAGATTTCTTTAATTTGGCTATGCGTTTTCAGGTCTTTTTACAAATCAGTTTAAGAGATTGCAAATTGAAGTTACTAGTCATTAAAAAATTGCACAGGAATGAAACCGTTGTTTGTTCAAGAAAGCATGCACAGCGGGTGGCTCCAAGTGTTAGAACCAGTGTAATTGTTCTGAAGACTCAGAGAGATTGCTTTCCCCCAGACCCCATGTGTCTGGATGCCATTCAGCCGATGCCTGAAGGAACGGGTGCAGGGTCTGTGGCTATATTTCTGTTAGTCCTATTCCCAGTTCTGGCTACTGGCCTGCAGTTGCTCTGAAACAGTCAAACAGCACGTTCCAGGAGAGAAATGGCCTCATGCAAAAGTTAGTTATTCAGGCTGAGTAAAATACCATCCGTAGTAAGAATAAGTCATTTTGGTACAGCACAGTTTGCCTTTGAATTGTAAGTTAATTTAATTTGGCTATCTCCTTAATTAATTATCTATGCACCAATTAAAGTTTCATGTAGTCCTGTGAATATATTTTCCCTTAGATTTATAAAAACAATGACATATGTAATTTTCTGAACTGTCTAGTGAGAAGGTTCATCATTTAAGTATAAAAGAAAAGCTGTCTGTTGAATAGCACAGCCATAAACTCTACATTTCTTTGTGCTGATATCTGATTGCAGTCATGTATTAGATCAATGGGAGCAGTGCAGATTAATCACTTTTTTCAATTACTGATGAACAGTTTTCTCTTCAGAGGAGGGCAAATCCTTTACTGAGGATGCTGTGAGGTAGTTCTTTGACATCAGCAGAGTTATGCTGATTTATATCAAATAGGATCTGGCCTATAGTATGTAGACAGTAGTCAGCCTACATCCATCCATAACTAATACTTGAGATCCTTCGTAGCTCTAGTATACCCTTATTTTGACTGATGAAGCTAGAAAAACATTTATGTATTTAGCTTTCATGGTTAGACTAATATAGTGTAAGTGATAATTGTCACGGGCCTTGTTTTTAAAGTGGGTTTAATGCAAAATCACTTGGTAATTCAGTTCATGAAAGTCAGAGTGTTTACATGTGCATTGTTAGTACAGGTGAAGGAAAAGTGTTCTTACAGTACACAATTTAAAAAGCAGTCTTAAACTTGCAAGAACAAATTGCAATTAGAAAAAGAGGCTGAGGCTTATCTTGGTTGAAAATTTTCAAAAAAATTGTTTTGGGTGTCTCCATTCTTTGATCTCTAATTTGAGATCTTTTCTTTTAAAGACTCCTTAAAATTAGACCTTTTCAGATGTTTAAAAACAGGTATCCAGGCTTATTGGCAAAGAAGAATTAAAAATAAAGAATTCTGAGTTCTGTTCGAATATGGAAATGGAAAACCAGCTTGGAGTTCCCCTTGCCACACACAATTTCTGAAGCTTGCTTACCAGTTTTGCTTCTCCCTTTGATACACACTTCACAACTTGAGTGCATTGGAAACACCACCAGTAACCCTCTGCAGACAAAGGTTTCTGTATAGTTTTGAAACTTACGTTACAGGTAGCGAATCCTAAAGTGTAAAGAAATAAAGGTATCACTTGAAAAGTGAAAGTTCTTCTCTTTTTATACAGAAAAAAAGCTCTGAATAAAACATCTGGATAAACACTAAGAATCTTTGTTAACTATTAAAGCTCAAACTTGTAACCTTAATTTATAAAGAATGTCATATACGGCACTATTCCACACTTCGGTATTCATTTTATGATAAGACAGGAACGAAAACTAAATTTTAGGTAGTTTAGGCACTCCTTACTTTCTTATGACATTAATTTGAGGTTAAACACGCACACACATGTAAAACCACTCTAATCTATACAGGCATTTAATTGGAGATTATGTCATAGCACACTAGGTATGTGTATACATTCATGTCAATTTATTTCACTTTATAGATAAGTCATTTTAGTATAAGGTATTCTTATTAAAACCTTTAAAATGCGTTACTTGCAGTAAGTACACACCGCTTTCTGAAATAACGTGATTTTTAATGGTAATGACTTTGTGGCAAAAATACATCTAAAGTAATTCCATTATGGAAAATATACTTTCAAAGTGCTGCATAGAGGCAATGGTACAAAAGCTTATGAGTTGCTTATCTCCCAGAAATACAGATAGTCTTCTTCATATTAAAAATCTATAGGAGTATTGTTGGTTATTTGCTGTTAGAGGGGTGAAGGATTCTCCTGATGATGCCATGCAGGTGGGGTACCTGACAGTGGATTGCCTGTCTTACCTGAGGTGTGAGTGAATGTATCTGCAGGAGCCTTTCTTTCCACAGTATGGGATCGTCTGACTCTCTCAGAAAAGGGTTTTTCCTCTTTTCTTTTTGTTAAATCCCATTTAGCTTTTGTTTTTGTCGACAGACCTTTGGTCAGTCCATTTCTTCCTACAGTCCTCCAGCTCCTTAACCTTCTGTAACACAAAGATGGGAGAATATCAGTATGTGGTTAGGACAGCCCTCTTGTGTTGGTACAGACTGAAAAGTAAAAATATGTTCAGGATTAGTTAGTGGGAAAGACATGAATGAAGTTTCCACAAGTGTGTAGTCATCATTTCCCCATTCCCACATTCAGGTGACTTTTAGGAAATGTGTTTACACGTATAATTAAAATGCTAATTTTGTTACTGTTTCATTTAATTTTGTCATTTACGTTCACTATGAATATTTATATTATTTTAAGCTTTTTCCTAACATTTCTGCAAAAGTGAATTTTCAATAATCTTAGAGTATTTCTGTTCCAAAACTTAAATGTCCAATAAAAGGATTTCTGTTAGCTACACTGAAAACTGTTAGGTCTTTCCTATAAGTCTCCCTGGGAATAAGATTTTCTCTGTTTTCTGTGTTATAAACTGTAACTTTGGTTACTTTATAGCCAAGGCAAAATACCAGTATCTCCTTAGTACCTTTAGGGTATAATGTCAATAATTTTAGATTCCAAATGTCACTCTTAATGTAGAATGCCCTTAATAAAATGTTATATTTTAGTAAAAAGTGAGAGAAAATAAAGATGCGAAGTTATAGCAATTTCAGTATGATCAAGATAAACAAGCTACATACAGATCTTTAAAAGAAACTATTGTGAAAATGATTCCTGTTGTTCCAATATTATCATTTACAGACTGAAGAATTTACCATTCACTTTTACTAAACTTAAAGAACTTGCAGCTTTGTGGCTTTCTGACAACCAGGTAATGACTTTCAATACTCATATTTTCTTTAGTAACTAGGGGTCTTAGCAAGGACTGTAAATGAAACCTATAATTTAATACATGATTCTAGTAGAATTTTAGAAGTGTTTGCTCCCAGTCCAGGTTTATACTTTCATATCAAGGTATAGATTCTTCTGGCTGTCATTTATTAACTTGGAAAGATCACCTTTGCAGGATTTATTACTTGCATCTGGCTAAGCTTCTACATCCTTACAAAAGTAGTAAATAAAGGCCAAAATTATCAAGAGATTATTTTGTAAAGAGAAATTCAAGAGGTAAGACTTTGTTATCAAACTGATTAGTTTGTCCCATTCTTTACTCCATCTATGCCTCTGTTCTTGACATCTTCCTTTTCCCTTTTCCTCTCCATGCTTCGATTCCTGCATATTTTAAACTCCATTAAGTCAGTGGGAGTTTAAACATGCACAAGAACTCTTAGTCTTGTTTTGGAGAAAACTCTCATTTAAGTTCCTTTTAAATTTAAGTATGCCTTTCTTTGTTCCAAGGAGGTTGATTTCACTACTGTATGTTCTTTAGGATTCTATTTTAAAACAAATTATCTAACGTGAACACTGAGAAATGTAACAGTTCAACCAGCATCTCAGCACTAAAATAAGTCTCGATCCTTTCCAGGATTGGTGGATAGAATAATTTTGCACTTCCATAATTTAAATGGAGAAGAACTCAATATGTACAAAGTTAGAAATGTTCAGCATACCTAACATTTTTTAATAATCTCAGTAAATTCTCATGATCTCATCTTTCTCCCTTTGCAATAATGCCTATGGTCAGATATTACACCTCTTTAACTGAAGTTGATGAACGTAATTCTTCAGGGGCCAATTATCATGCTACTGTAAATTAATCCACCCTTTTATCCATATGAAAAAGCCACAGCTGCCTGTCTGCAGGAGATCCTGTGCGTACGCCTGTGCTGAGCACTGCTGGTTGCGGAACCGCTCAGAGCAGAGCCTGTGCCTGTCCATGGGGCACGGCACGGCAGACAGGGCTGTTTCTTTGTCAAGATGTCAGATAAAATTCCTGCTGACTCCTGGCCAGTGCGTACCATTCAGCCGTGCTCTCAAATCATAGCAAAGCCAAATGCAATGCAGTCAAAAGATTTACATTGGTACATGCTTATTGCACTGCTCCTTAAATGTACTTTTTACTTCTATAGTTAAGCAAAAAATATTAAAGCTGAAGGGAGGGGAGACTAAGTGGGAGGGATAATAGAAAATTATGAGTACATTTTAATGTGTTAAATTAGGATTCTCATTTTTTTCACTCTAATTTCCACTAAAAAAAAAATTGCATGACTTCTCAGCCCAGCCACAGAACATACACTTCCTTTTAAATACACAATGTTTTTTCAGCATTTTGATTTTTCTATGGTGTAGCATAGATTAATTTCTATTCTATGAACTATGACAGTCACTCCTACATGCTGCATTAGAGAAAAGCAATAATAAAAAATAATCAATTTAAGTAAAACACAACAGTAACATCTGAATATTCAGAGTGCCTCTATGTAAATTCTCCAGTATCTTTCACCAGGTTTACCCTCAGATGAACTAATTACTGTCGTGAACTTCCTCCTCGTTAGCTCTAGCTTAAAACAGATCACAGCCATAATGTGGGTGTTTTAACTGTGTAGTTGCAGCTCTGTTCTGTTGATCCTTTAGCTTCCTCGCTGGTATGACTCTGAACATGCAGTCAGTATTTCTGATATTTAGTGTTCTTCTGTTGATTCTGGTAGGAATTACAGGAATTACAGAAGTAAGGAGTGGGAGATGAGGCATTTCCACCAGATTAATACTTGGTTTAGTCCATAGAGAAGTTTACTTTCATACAGAACTTTAGTTAATCTTGTATTTTCTATTTATCATATGCTAAAATCCCATCTCAGTTAATACGCATGCTCTGAGTTAACAGTTCTTTGTTTTGCCTTTCCTGTGCAGTCCAAGGCTCTCATTCCACTGCAAACTGAGGCTCACCCAGAAACAAAGCAGAGAGTACTGACTAACTACATGTTTCCCCAGCAACCCCGCAGTGATGAAGGTAAAATGCCATCAGCAGTTCCTACAAAGGCAGGAACAGTGCTTGTTTAGATAGTTGAGAAAGAAACAGAGGGAGGGAGAGGAAGGTGTTTCAGATGTGGCTGTGTGCGAGCATCTATTCTGACATGTAAAGCCAGTAATGCACACATAACAGTCTATATTTTGTCGTACACGAAGGAATCCTGTTTACAAATCCATTATTATCAGGCCATCAGATTTACACTTTTTAAACTTTAAGCACTTTTTTACTTTCAGAAGAATGGCTTTGTATAAACAATTTGAACCTGGAAATTGAGTGTGTGTGGGACAGAAATTCTAGGATATACCTTGCTGCCGTGTGCACAGGCTGTTGGCCAGAGCCAGCTGAACCTGCAGAGACACTGGACACGTCTGTGAGAGCTGGGGGGTGGGCCAGCTCCTAGACATGTGAGGTTCTGAGCTCTGAGCCTGACAGAATTGAGGGTTTGGCTCCTCACATAGCTACGTTAAGTTAGAGAGTTTTCATACTCCCACTCTGCTCCAGATCTGCCCTGAAACCCCATTGCTTCTCATCACTCTCACTTCATTTTTAATATTAAACTCTGTTTGTAATGGTTTATCAGTTACTACTCTCATTGCACGCCCCCCCCAACAGTTTTAAAACAATAATCCAAGATTACAGGAACAACTAAGAACATGTCTTTTTCGATCATTTCCAATCTTCTGCTGGGTGCACTAATTCTTTCTTCTTGTGCATTGCTGTTTGCAATTTAACTGTAGATTTCCAGTCAGACAGTGATAGTTTTAACCCTACTTTATGGGAGGAGCAGAGACAGCAACGTATGACTGTTGCCTTTGAATTTGAAGAAAAAAAGGAAGAGGAGGAAAATGCAGGGAAAGTTAAGGTAAGTTCTATTTGATTTATTCTGGTATTCACGTGTTATGGACAGGGTCCAATTTACAGATCTTGAACTATTTTTGTGTTCTAAATACCCAGAAAGTACTCGTCACCGTGTTTCAAGTAGAGCAGTTGAGGAAGAATAGCATATCTGTTCTCCCTGAAGTACACATTACCAATTTCTGCTTTTGCTATTGTTGTCTAGACAGCAAAACTTTGATTTCATAAGTCAATTCAGGCCCATAACCCTAATGTCAGGTTCCTACTGTGTTAGGTGTTCTGTCACAAAGACAAAATTACCACAAAATATTGGGAGACTTAGAATTAATGTCCAACCACCTAGTTCTTTAGAAATATTTAGAACACATAGGGGATTCCATATTCCTCTCAAAGTGGAAGTCAACGAGAGCTTTGCAGCTTCATGGAATTACACAGGAATGTGCAGTGGAGAGGGCATCTCTCATCAATTTTGTAACCTACCAAAAATGAAGATCAGAACATGAATATCCTCCCCCAGTTATGTGAAATTAATATAATTCCAGAGTTTTCAAGTGAGCCCTTAATCAGTTACATTGTTAGAAGGATATCATCAGGACCATCTATGTTTATGTGCCATGGAAATTTCTATATCTTGAATAATATAAAGGAATTACCCTAGATCACACTTAAACACTGCAAATTTTTAACTGTGGTAGGATACCCAACGTAAAATGTATTGCCAGAGAGAAAAATCATGAGGAGATTTAAATAATATTTTACTTTTAAAATTAACAATACTATTATTAATAGCTATTTAACATTCCATTTAGATAATCTTGGAAATTTTGGATTTTTCTTTTTAATATTTTTCCCAATTAGGAATTTTCATCTAACTCTTGTAACCAGAGATAAGGGACTCTTCTGCTTTAGTAAAACAGAAAATGAAGTAAAAATCAATCTTTGCCTCACAATAAACAGATAAAACTGAAATTTTACCCCAGACAAATTGCAGGTTTATGGGTCATATATGGAAAACAGAGCATCAGGGAGACTTTTCTGTTGTTCCACCACTTCTTAGCAGAATTTTAACTGTGGGTAATATGTCTGTCCAAATGTGCAAAACAATTGAAATATTAACAGAGAAATAGGTATCAATTTCTAAGATCATAGAAGAATTTAATTGTATTATAAGTTATTTGCAAACATTAACTCTTGAAATGTAATATATTAATTACATCACTTAGCCATTTTGGTTTTAATATATTTCAGAACACTATGAATGACTGAAACAAATGTTTCCTTTGAGTAAACTATTTTTGTAGAAAAAAATAAATCCTTCGTCCACAGAATGCTGTTCCTGTACTTCAGTTCAAATGCTGCCATCTGCTGTATGGAAAACAGGGAGGCAAACACAGCCGAGACACAGTACCCCATTTTCAGGTTTCCTAGAAACAGCACTTAACAAAAATAGCTGGCCTGCGCCCATGCTGTGAGCAGATGTCTCTGCATGGTGTGATCCCAGGCCCTGGCGCTCCGCACCAGAGCTGTTCAGGATGCAATGGATGCTCTGGTTGCAGTGCTTCTTACCTGGGCTATTTGCTCATCCCTGGCAGCTGCTGCCAAAGTCGTGGTCTGTGGAGCAGAGTCTGCATTCCCAGAGGTGTGCATTGGTCAGCTGCAGTCTCAGCCCAGTTGCAGCAGAACATGGGATGGGCAGCCTGCGGCCAGTCATGCTGCCAGCGGACATGTGGTTTGTACCATGTGGGTGATTCATATCCCACAGGGCTGCGCCTCTCCGTAACGTTTTGGCTTGGCCATCCGAAGGTCAAGACAGTCTTTACCCTTTGTGTCACTGCTCTTTAGTTGTGGAAGAGTCCAACACTAAAATATATTTCCTGGAGTACTTTCTTACCTGTTCTCCCTCTCATCCGTAGAGAGTGGGTATAAACCAATATTGTAGTACATGAGTCTGTTTCTGCATGACATTCCTCTATTCCCATATACAATCCAATGTTCCTCTCCTCCATAATGATCCTAACGTCTTCTCATCAGACCAAAACACTAAATGTTGCAGCTGATGCTATAGTTGTTGCTTATACGGAGCATTATTAAATGAAAAGCTAAGCAGGGAGCTAGGAGCTGATCAGATACTTCCTCCAGTCTGTGTACCCTGAAGAGAGCATCTCTCCTCTCTTGTATCTCGCTGTGTGCACACGAGATACCCATAAATACCTGTAGCTTGTAAAAACTGAAAGTAGAGAAATAATACTGTTCAAACCTGGGAAATCTTGCCAGGCCGTGAAAGGAAAAGATTTCCCACTGAAGGGGTGTGTGTGTTTTTTCCCTATCACGGAAAACGGCCTTTTTGCCCAAGCCATGAAATAATTGGCTCAAATTCAGTTACTATTCAGAAGATAGAAATTCTTATTTGCATCCTTCTGGTATGTCTGTGCTCTTTCCCAGTAATGCCAATTCATCTCTACATATGACTGACCATAAAAGTGCTGTAAAGAGTTATTTCACTGAACTGTTCACCAGGCTGTGTTTAGAGGCATGCACGTGAACTAAAAGCTAATTGCTGGAACCTTTTGAGAACTTAGTGTGTGACACTCCATCCATGTGTTGCAATAGATCTCAGGGAGGTTTTAACATGTATGTTTTTAGCAGTTTCACCAGACCTTTATAGGATGAATTTGAAGGTTAACTTAAATTATCAATAGGCAGTAACCACAAACATTGGTAGCATTTTATATAAGCATACATAGTTTTCACTTTTTATCTTTCATAGTTAAAACTGAACTCTAAGCCAACTATATGTTAAAATAGATTTGGTAATTGAAATTACTTCTGTGTGAAAACACAATAACTTCTTCCATCAAGAACTTTGAGCTTCGAAAATTCTCTTTTCAGGGTCATGCTACTTTTGATGTAGCCATAAAGATACAAGAATTGTATCAACAGGGAGTACAGTTTTCCTCTGTAATGATAAATCTAAATCAGTGGTGAAAATACCTGCATTCTAGTGGGTATCACCTATCACAGCTGCCGGTATATTTACTGTTTAATATTAATGCTCACAGTGATATGAAACTCTTGCTGAAATCCCTGTCTATGACTTGTGTATCTCATGAAAGTCTTTCCGTTAATTTTTCCTTGACTAGTACTTACTGAGGATTTGCTGTATGACTTGACTTTTAGCTGTTTGTCTGTAGACCTTACACCTAAATCATGGTCTGAATTTTGTGAAAAAGCAATGGCCTAATTAGGCCACATCTAAATACGATTTCTTTCAACCGTAAATCAACCAGAGCTTTAGTAATGCTTTACAGACTTAATTTATTTTTTTTCTGTTGAAATTCTTTATTAACATATGACATCATAGTCATACATTTTAACGTTTTATGTTAAAGTCATGTCAGAATCTATTATCTGTAATGTTTATTCTATTGTGGTTCAGAATTGTATGCTAATATTTCATATAGTTTTATTTTCCAAATCGATCATGCTTTTGATTCTAAAATATTCCTATCAACAGACCATATTCATTTGAATACAAAATTACATTTTTCCTACTGGTTAGGAATTTAAAATCCAACAGCTATAATCGTGAGCTATTAAAAGTAAGCTTCCTTTGCTTACCTCACATACCCAATGAAGTAAAAGCTTCTTTGTGGTAAATGCTTCCAAATACTTTTCACATGGTAAATGCGGAGTAATTTCAAATATCACAGCCTCGTAATCGGGAACAGTTATCCTGACATGCACAGCTTGCACTGGGAGCTGTAATTTACCCCGCTGAAGGATTTTATCGCATTTCCACCCCGAATTCAGGCCCAAAGGGAGTGGCAGGCTCAGCTAGCACCTTCTGCATTTCAGCTGAGTGCATTTGGTGGCTGTTACGTGCACCCAGCGGTGGGTTGCTGCTCCACAGGGCGTGCTTTCTGGTTCCCCTTGTGAATCCCAAGTTCGGTGCTTGAGCCACAACCACCTTTCACAGCTCGGACAATGGCGGTGGAATAGGGCAGGTTTGGAGCACGGAGGGCAGGAGACGCTCTGTGGAGGAGAGGGAAGCATCTGCCAGAGGCTGGGCTCAAGGGACAGACCTACAAGCTGCCCACACTCTGCACAGCCCAAGCTGCCTTGCCGAGGTCGTGCTTGGGATGCACACCAGTTTCCTCAGCATCTCTTTCTCATGGTGTGGTGTGGTGTGATGTTCAGCAGACAAAATGTGTAACGCAGAGGGCGAGGTATAAGGAGAGGTCAGCATCATTTATGTTGTCTTTCCTGCTTGGATCATTCCTGACGCGGTCATTTGCTGCACCATCTCCTCAGAGCGATTTGCTGGTAGCGTGAAGTCTTGCCAGATGATGGGGGGTGATGTCATCCATGAGCCTTCTCAGCTGCTCTTCCCCTTTCATGCAACCCTGAGATTTTGTAGAATTGTCTTCAAATTAGGATTGCTTTGGGCTTGGGAGATAGAATGTTTTTCTACTTCTGAGTGATAAAAATTATAAACTTAAAATGTGGAGTTTTCTAGAAAATCTGTGGGTCCGTCTGTCAGCTAAAAGTACTGTTCAGTGTGATGTAGGGTGACTTTTCTGTAGTGGTTTGAGTCTGTTTTCCTGTATTTTCTGTATAAGAAAAGAGTAAGATAACTTGAGCGCATGTTTGTACATTATACATCTCAAAGAGCAAATAGGTCCCAGTAGGTCAGATTCTGTGCTCAGCTGCCATAGATAATTCAGATTAATTCAGTACACTGAACATAGCTAAATTAATTCTGCATTTACACCAGTATTGTTCTGAAAAAGTGTGATTTAATATGTCAGTACTCTCAAGCAAAGTGTAGAATTAAAATACAATACTCTCACAGGGTAAAGGATAGGCTTATAGGGAACCATTCCCATCCATTATTTTATGTCACTGAAATTCCATTATAAGATGACATAGTGTAACTGAGAGCAAATTTCGGTCCAAAAATCCATGAAGATAGCTGTATGTAACACATTACCTCAAATAGATTAATTAAAAATTTGAGGAATTTGCCCTTAGCCATAGTACTGTAATCATGGTTTTAGTTTGCATGCTGTTTTCATTTTGTATTTGTGCTTTAATTCTTTTTATGAATGTTCAGGTTGAAATAAATCTAAAACGTTATCCCACTCCATACCCTGAGGATTTAAAGAATATGGTAAAATCAGTTCAAAATCTGGTGGGCAAAACAAGCCATGGAGTACGGCCTGAGAACTCAACACCAACTGCGAACAGTGAACAAACTGTGAAAGAAAAGTATGAGCACAAGTGGCCCATGGCACCAAAGGAGATTTCAGTGGAGGTAATGTAAAAGGATCGTTGTTCCTCTCAAGAGTTCAAGATGGAGTTTTAACATAACTCCATCAAATGATGTTCTGCATCTGCTGTGAACTTCATACCTAATAGTTTCTAGTTTCATTCCGTAAAGTTAATTTAGTTTTATATTGAGTTGCTGTTTTTCCCAATACTAATGAGTTTATCAGACTGAATTTTTTGTTTTAAATCTACCTAAATCTGAATTTTGGTATTGATATATACAAGCACTCTCCTAAATTTTGATGATATGAGAGACTTGCATATTAGCAGGTGAATGGACCTGATCGTGATTTACATCTCAGACTTAAGTAAGTGTATTTCTGCATCACGTATGTTAATGACAAATCAGTTTGTTCTGTCTGACCCTACTATGCCATTAGATTCTGCTGCTTCTATTCACATGTCATGTAGTAGATAGCCAATTAACCTTGTCAAAAGTTAATGAAGTCAGCAGGAGTGCTTCTTCGACTGCAGGGAACTTTAGATCAGGCACCCCCTGAATAGCGACTTACAGTGAGGTGCAGAATCTAGTCCTTAGTATGTTTGCCAGAAGTGGATCAGTATGCATAGTAACAAAGTCTTCTATTCTAACATGAATACAGTCACTGAAAGGTGAATTCCTAAATACTGCAGTCTTGTGCAAAGCTGTTACAAATAGCTGAAGCTTGATCTCAGAGGGCATCTACTCATTAACATTCACACTAACAACTTACTTTGTGCAGGCACAACTTATAAATAAGGGAAATGTCTTACCCTGGCAATATGTACTGATAGTTTATAAGCTCGGACAGGTCAACAAGAATACCAGCATTCTTGAAAATCTTTATGAAGTCTTAATGTTCAAAAGAAATAAATGAGGAAAAGAAAATTATCACATTATCTTTTCACTCCTTTGTTATTTAAACATTATGATAAATTCATTGTCCTTGAAATATCCCTGTCTCTGGCTAGTCATGTATGATGAATTTTTCTTCCTCAATTTTCCGTATCCTTAACACAGATTGGCTGTTCTTACATATTCAACAGTCACTGTATCTGCTCTGTCAGTACTGTGTGTTTTATTTACAGTTAAACATTTTTGTTTCTTAAAAAAAAAAAAAACAAAACGAAGTTTTCTCTTAAGATGGCTTCAGAAGACTTCAAATCTAGTCACAGTTTCGATTAGTACTTCAAACTAAAATATTCAAGTTAAATCAATCATTTTTTTATCTAAATCTGAAATCTTAAATTCCACCATTATTCCTTTTTACTCATTAAATTCTTCCCTACTGTGTAGGTCTGACCTTTGAACCAACTTAGGTCTTGTGGAATGAGTATTGACATGTTCTGCTGTTGTTGCTGAAGACATACAATTTATTTTGTATCATCTAGTTTTTGAACTTGAATACACTTAATAGCTTTCTGTGGGTTTTAATTATCTATACTGTGAACACACATATATTATCTATCTGGAATTTGAATCAATGTTGTCTGACAAAGACATTAGGTGTTTGGTCTTGTGGCGGTGTCTGGTGATGCAGGCTTCAGAAGTAGGTGGCTATACTGGTTTAGTTGCTGTTAAACTAAATGTTAAGTTGTTAAACTAAAATGTCAACATCCCAGTTAACCGAGCTACAGCAGAGAGTCCTGTGATTATGCAAAGCCCAGTGAAGCCTCCATTATGGAGGTGTAAGGAAAGAGTAAATGGCAGCAACACCATAAAATACTACAGTTGCTCTGAAATGCTTGTGAGACCACATACTGTGTTCTAACACAGAAAAAGATGAAGAAAAATTTCATTCTTTGATAAAAATGCATTCACTTTTGCAACAGAAGAATAATCACATCTAGTTTTTCTGTGAATGTACATGAACGGTTAATTGCATGAGTATCACAAAAAGCATTCTATAAAAATAGTTGAATTGCTGAAGACCCTGTGGTAATTCCTGAAGTGCAATTAAATAATGTGATTGCAATTTCCTAGTTAATTTTCTACCACAAGCAACTGATGTGAGTGCACAACTATTTCCATCATATCAGTGAAGATATATTTTTCATCTTCCGTTATTATAGTAGTGAAGATGGTGGAACTTTTTCAGATTTTAATTTCCCTAGTATTTAGTCCAGACTAGTAACACAACTATCTTGTCAACTAAAGAAAAGAAAAGTGTTCTTGTCATTCATACAAATACTGACACTGGGAAGATTTTATGGCTGTAAAGCAGGATGATGTATACATTTTCCTCTCTTTGGCTTCCTGCATGAAGATAAAGAAGACGTATGGGAAACTGTAGAAAAAGTGTGAATGATTTTGTGAATAATATTGGTACGATTTCAGTTGTAAGAGATTAAATAAAACAGAATTGAACTCCATTTTCTTTTCAGATAATTAGGAAACATGATCTCAAGCCTCAAGTTAAAACACAGTTTGAAAACACAGGTGTGTTCTGATATAGATTTAGACTGAAGACAGTTTCTAATAACAAAGTAATTTAATTTCAGGTGCAATGCTGACTTTTTCATCCTCAGAGGCCAGATAAGCTGGTTTCTTTTCTGATCTCTTTTGGGTTTTCTTGCAATTAATTTACACATGTCTCTTCACAAAACTGTTTCTAAATAATTAAAGGGAGCATCTAAAATGAATAACAAGCTACATTTCAAATCCCCTGTATCATCCTCCACCTTCAGTTATAATAAGCAAACAATTCCTTAATTAATCATCAATTAAAATAAACCTCTTTGTTGTCCTAAGTGATTTGAAAGATGTGCATTTTGGACAGAAAGAAGTCTAGGATAACTTAGTGCATTGTGCAGCCTTTCCATGAGAAACAATGAGAAATACAACAAATCAGCAATTAAGACCTTTATAGTTAATATTCTTGATATGTATGGATTGACGAATAAACTGGAAATACTTCTGTATAACTCTCAGCTTTGGATTAAAAAAAAGTCTTTTCTAGTCCAACCTACAGCGTTCCATCCTCTGTGTTAATTTCTAGCAGGTTTATTAATACTGTGTAAAAAAGAGAGCTTGTTATTCTTTGAGTGGTCTGATGCAGATGCAGGTGCTAGTGCTAACAGCTAGAAAAATACCACCTCAGCTGTATTGGATCTTCTGAGACTTTCATCTCGTCTCTGTCAAAATAAGACCTCAATCCTTTTAACTTCTGACTTTGTTACTGTGTGGGTTTGGGTTGGGGGGGGGGGGGGGGGGGTGGGGGGGGGGGGG